CCCCTCCCCAAATCGGCACGCCTCTCACACGTTTTGTGGCCCCATAAGGAGTTCCACCGAAGACGATCCTCACAACTGCGGCACTCGCAGCTGCATATGGTTGGGTCCTGTGCCAGGCTAATTTTGAGTACATATTGAACGATATACGAGCAGATGAGAGGACACATTCTTACAATGATGGTCGTTGTCGTCGTCGTTGAGATTGAGTATTCATTACTAAGCAGAGATTATTGGCTGACCCCCTATATCCGCCCTGGCGCCCTCGCCTCCGCACTGGCTATATTTCTTTTGAAAGTAAGGCTCACACTCAATCATTTCGGGGTTCCGCCCAAACGTCCACCACCACACCACCACCACCACCACCACCACCACCACCACCACCACCACCACCACCACCACCACCACCACCACCACCAACAATAACAAAAACAACAACAACAAGAACGCTCCCGTGTGATACTTTCCTCGCAGTTTACTCTGAAAGGCCCTGGCCAGAGATGGCCCGAACTTCAGGAAGGGCACTATCGCTGGAGACTTCCTCGCAATTTAGCACCACAAAGGCGTCCTTCAGAGCAATCTTGCCGCTACTTGCGGATGCCGGAACGGCCATTTCGCTTGAGGGTTCCTTGGAATTAAATATCACAAGGGGATCCTTCAGGGCAATCGCGCCGCCAGTTGCGAATGCCGGAACGGCCGTTTCGTTTGAGACTTCCTCGCAATTTGGCACCACAAATGGGTCCTTCAAAACCAAGTGGTTGCTACTTGCGGATGCCGAACGACCGTTCGCTTGCGACTTGCTCGAAATGCAGCACCGCAAAGGGATCCTTCAGAACATTCTTGCTGCTACTCACGGATGTCGGAACGGCTGTTTCGCTTGAGACTTCCTTGTAATTCCGCAGTACGATGAAATCCGTCAGAGCAATCTTGCCGCTACTTGCGGAGGCCCCAGGAGGCCCCAGGACGCTCCAAGGATCTGTGTTCTGGGAATTTTTTTTCGGCCCTCCCGCCGCCAGGAGGCCCCAGGACACCCCAGGAAACATTCTTCTTTCTTGTGATAGGAATTCGCGGAGCGCTTTCCCCTCCGCTCCCAGACAGCCCCCCAGGAGACACTTTTCTGTATTGGGATCTGTGATCGGGAAGCGCTTCTCGCCCTCCCCCCCCCCGACCCAAGAAGCACTTTTCCGCATTGAGATCTGTATTCGGGGAATGCTTCTCGGCCCCTCCGCCTCCGGGAAGCCCCACGAGGCACTTTTCTGTATTCGGTGCGTGTTCTTCGGGCCCCCGTAGGCTTCGCTTTCACAGGCTTCAGCGCCCCTCTTCTGGGGCTCGAGCCCTCTGTGTGTTCACGTGTGCTCCCAGCGATTGCCCTTCGCCTGGGTCTCGAACCTTTCGTGCGTGTTTCATGTTGTTCGTACATTTTGCCCCATCGACTGGTGCTTGACTCATTTCTGTGCTCTGCGTAGGTTCCTATAGATTGCTCCTCCTGGGGCTCGAGGCCCTAGTGTCTTCCACATGTCCATAACAGACATATTTTTACACATGTGCTTACACAAGTTGCCCCTGTCCTGGGGCTCGAGTCCATCGTGCTTCGAACCCTCCCCGCTCCCCATCGTCGGAATCATTGTCTTATCTATCGTGCGAACTGGAGGTGGGAAAAGGCCTCGGGCGAGGAGTGGACTCGACATCCTTGGGCGGGAAATCTGGGCGAGGAAAAAAACCCTTTTCCACTTTGTTCCCCCAAGAAGGAGTGGCATCATGATGCCTGAGCTAGCGGCCTCCTAGATGGGGTCGGAGGATCTCGCCGCATCGCCGATGCATCGACGATGCACCGGCGATGCACCGGCGATGCACCGGCGATGCACTGGCGATGCATCGTCGACGTCGGCGATGCATCGGTGACGCCGACGTGAAGCACATCGGGCTGCACATCGAGCCGCATCGGCGATGCATCGGCGATGCGGCGCGATCCTCCGACCCCATCTGCTCCGACCCCATCCAGGAGGCCTGGGTGAGCTTCCTGCAGGGCCCGCCTCTTCCTTCGTGGCGACAGGCCGTCCGAGGCCGTGGCTTTTGCCCAGCGCCTCTGGCGGCCTCGAGGGCCGTCCGCGGAGCAGCTCGGGGTGAGGAGCCCGCCCCATGGGGAGGAGGAGGAGGAGGAGGAGGAGGAGGAGGAGGAGGAGGAGGAGGAGGAGGGAGGAGGAGGAGGAGGAGGAGGAGGAGGAGGAGGAGGAGGAGGAGGAGGAGGAGGAGGAGGAGGAGGAGGAGGAGGAGGAGAGGAGGAGGAGGAGGAGGAGGAGGAGGAGGAGGAGGAGGAGGAGGAGGAGGAGGAGGAGGAGGAGGAGGAGGAGGAGGAGGAGGCAGAGGAGGGTGAGGAGCTGGCCCCATGGGGAGGAGGAGGAGGAGGAGGAGGAGGAGGAGGAGGAGGGAGGAGGAGGAGGAGGAGGAGGAGGAGGAGGAGGAGGAGAGAGGAGGAGGCAGAGGAGGAGGAGGAGGAGAAGGA